CATTCCACACCACTAAGGGCAGCATGTTTCGATGGTAGATTGGACATTGTCAAATATTTAATAGAGCATGGAGCAGATTAAGAGATTGCCAATGTATATGATAACACATGTCTAATGATATCGTCCTATAAAGGTCATTTAGAAGTCACTGATTACTTATGCAAAATGGGATGTGATTTGAATCGAAGCAACTATCAGGCTGTAACAGCGCTGCATGCAGCAGCCGCAGAAAATCACTTGCTTATTGTTCAATGTCTTACTAAGAATGGAGCAATTATCAATAAAAATTCGAAGGGATTGACTCCATTATCGGAGGCGGCTATGAATCTAAATTTATCGATTGTTGATTACTTTACAGACGATACATTGAATTTATTCTCACAATTACAGTGCATTGAAGCGTTCGAATTACTCGCCACATCATACGCGGGTTACTTCGTCGATAATTCTAATATAGAGAAAATATATGAGTATTTGCTGAAAGCAATGCAGTTAAGATATTCAGATCCGAATAAACCGATTCTGAAGATTGTCTTACCTCCATCAGAAATGTATGAAAATCATATTGAATGTAATACATTAGAAGAACTTAAATTAATCCAATTCAATGTTGATTCCTTATTCATGGAAACATTTGTTGTTCGTGAAAGAATTTTAGGATCACAACATGAAGCATTAATTCCTAATCTTTTGTACATAGGAGCTGTTTATGCTGATCAAAAGAAATTCGATCGATGTTTCTCACTGTGGTTACGTGCACTAGATGTAAAAAAGTCGAACAGTGAGTTGAAAATCGACGATTTCCTAAGATTTGCCGGAGTATTTGACGAAATGTACCATGAGGATGGTGGTGATTTTCCTTTTAATGTATATATGGTTGTTCTGAGAAATATTATTCAAGAACTAATATCGATGAAATATAAAAGTAAAAGCTTCAATTTATTGACAGTATTATATTTGATTGTTATCATAGCAAAGGTATATTTAGCAAGAAAAATAGTGAAAAGAACAGCTGTTGTTTTTGCGGTCTCTATTTAGGTCATGATATTGAAAACAACAAATGAAAAAATAGAAATATGCAACCTAATTTATCATTTAAATTCTTATAATTTTAAAACTGACAATGGATCTACATTGTTACATCTTTGTGTGAATGAAAATACGCCGGTGAACACTATACATTTCAAGTAAGTATGACATCGACAACAGTAGTACGTGAATTTACCAAGTGAGTGTTTCAGATTTCCATGTTCATTTGGTGCAAAGTTATTGATTGACAATGGTGCAGATGTAAATGCTGTGGACAGAGTTGGAAATACACCATTACATATAATCGCTCGCTCCGATGAATGCACTAATGAGAATAGAAATGAGATGTTGACAATTGTAAGCGATTTAATTCATAATGATGCACATATAGATACTGTGAATGACGACGGACAAACACCCTTGGACTGCGCACAGGTTGAACAAATGAGGCTTATCTTGCGATCCCAAACAAAACTGTCACTCAAGTGTATTACGGCTCGAACTGTGATTATGCTTGATTTGAACTATTCTAAACATTTGTCGAAAGCATTGATCGACTTTGTTAAATTGCATTCAATAGTGAACAAGTAAGACAGAGTGTATCATTCATTTTAAAAGGTGAAGAGATCTGACTTAATATTCAACGTTTTTCTAGTATTAAAAATTTTCGTTTTTTACTTATACTCTCTAATGTGCTCAAATATTTTTGGGACGGTTATTAAAACAGAATCCCTGGAAGTCTATTTTAATAACAAAATCGTTCAATTATCCTTACTTAAAAGAGTGACTATGTGATGTATGTTTCATGGGTGGATGAAAGATGAGCACAAAGAAACTTGAGCACGGAAAGATGAGCACTAGGAAAATTGGGCACGAGGAAAGTTGAGCACTAGGAAACATGAGCACAAATTTACAGTTTATCCATTGAATTTTTTGTATCAAAAACAGTTGAAAAAATTTAAGAGAAAGTTAATTTAATCAATTTATTCAATGTACTATTATATGAAATATTAAATTTTTTATTAGATGATCAATAAAGAAAGAAATATTTATTTCATGAGCAAATATTATGTGCAATATTATTTAGTTGCATAAGAATATCATCATGTGGATGCAATAAAAGATTTAAAAGACGTCGTTCAAACCGTTCATTTGTTTTACTTTTATGTTTTGGTGCTTCACCGCTATTTATATGAACAATATCAGCATGTGTTGCATGTTCTTCATGAATTAGTTTTTGTAAAAATGACCAAAGCGTAGGATGTACGCATTGAAATGCACATCCTATACGACGATGCCATGCTTCTACAGAATTATTTGTACAGGCGGATAATTGTGTTGTGCTTGTATGTATATTCCAAAATTCAATACTAAATGTTGGTTGACGTCGTGTATTGTTAGGGGTATTGATTTTTCGTAACGATGTACTTCAGTCCATTCCTTTTTAAAGTTGTATAACATGACTCGTTTATGTCTCACGAAATAACTGCAGGATTGCACAACTGGAATGTAATTTTTCTTCCCGCAAACACATACGGCACTGGGTTTAAAGTAACAGGGACAGCTTAATTTTCCAAAACGTTTTCGCCCAGGGGAAAAGAACCTATCCTTTAACTCAGAAGCCGTCTGTTTTATATTAACCCTTTCAGGACCGGTTTAATTTTTATATATACAGTGCTGTTCAAAAGTTTAAGACCTTTTTTATTTTGCAATATCTCGGCTTTTCTGATAGATAGAGACTTCATCCTTTCGTCAAAAGAAAGCTATCACTAAACTCTACCATATGTGAAAATATCGTTAAGTTTCAACTTATTTTGGTGGAGTTAGGTAGAAAATAGTATTTTCCTAAAAAACGAAAAACACGCATCTTCAGTATTTCGTTTTTCCTAATCAAGAGATTTTCGACAAAAAAATTCAAATGGCAATGTCTCGATAGAGAATTTCAAGAGCTACCGACTGACAAAAACATTTTTGACTTTTGATTCTGTCTTCGTACTCAAAACCCTCTTTTACTGAGAAGGATCGAAATTTTCGGAAAAACTTAGATTTCTAACTCAGAACTAAATATTATTCAAATGTATTATACATCAAAAGATAGAGCGTCAAAAACTGCATAAGATGATGTATTTGAAATTTGATTATGAT